GGTAGTATATTGCATGCTCTTTTCGACCAAACTCTTCATGTTGGCCCAATACACACCCCACTGAGTTCTCTTGTTAACAAAGGGAAGGTGTTAGGCACCCCTCATCTTCCTTGTTCACAAGGATACTGGGGTTTAGAAGCGCAATCTTTAAGAAATAGGGTTTTAGTTTTTATTAGGGTAACTCGCCATGATTTTTAAGTCGTATGCCTACATATCCTCTTATGAGGAATCAGAGTCTCAATTCATAGTTCGCGGTGGATTGGTATTTTTTATGGATTACGAAGATGTTTGAATTCCTATTGTACTTAGTCCGAGTGTGTGAATAGCGGAGTTATTGGACTAAGTGCACAGTCGATTAAAATAAATTCATAAACCTTTTTAAAAATTAATTTAGAATTTAATTTGATTTAATAAAATATTTTAGTGTTGGTTAAATATTTTTTAATGTATTAATGTATAAAGAACATCTTATTGATGCATGATTTAAAATGATTTTAATGCAATAAAATAATATTTGGATGAGTTGAAAAATAATATTTGATTTATAATAATATTAAAATAATATTAAAATTATAAATATATTAAAATATAAAACAAATAAAAATTATTAAAAATAAAAGAAATTAAAAAAACGCAGGGGGTGTAAATTATGTTAAGGTAGTAAAATAAAGGGGTGTTAACAGCATGAGCCAAAATCCAGATATTGGATTTGGCCCATCAGCACAAGGGGGTGTATATTTGAATAGGTTAGTAAATCTGAGGGTATAAGGAGTATGGGCCTAAGTCCAGATATTGTACTTGGCCCATTTGGCTAAGGGGGGTGTGATCTCTCCACGCAGCTAGCAAAATAAAAACAGGGAGGTTGGTTAGTAATGGGCCTGGCCCAAAGGGGATTGAGAGTTTGTTTAGACTCCATACAAGGGAGTGCATGGTAATACAGTGGGCGTGTGTTTGGGGACCATGTGATGATGATCAACCAGACATACAGTGAGGGCTTATGGTGGACTCTTGGATGTTCAGGCACAGGTGATGATGTGCTACAAGTGCCAAATCTATGTTGACGAGGTAGAAGTGCCTCCACCTCCTCTGAACGTCCTGAGTTCACCATGGCCATTCTCAATGTGAGGAATTGATATGATAAGGAAGATTGAACCGAAGTCTTCTAAAGGACACTGGTTCGTATTAGTCACCGTTGATTACTTCACCAAGTTGGTAGAAGCAACTTCTTATACAAAGGTGAGAAATCAATTCGTCACCCGATTTATCAAGCAAAATATCATATGCCGGTATGGGGTTCCTAGAAAAATCATCACAGACAATAGGTATAACCTGAACAATAAAATGAAGAAGGAGTTATGTGATGATTTTAAGATCGAGCATCACAGCTCATCTCCTTATCGACCCAAGATGAATGTAGCCGTTGAAGCTGCCAATAAAAACATCAAAAAGATCATCCAGAAAATGGTGAAGACATACAAGGATTGGCAAGAAATGCTTCCCTTTGCACTACATGGACACCGTACCTCAGTATGAACTTCGTTCGGTGCAACTCATTTTCTTTTGTTTATAGAATGGAAGTCATGCTTCCTATTGAAGTCGAGATTCCATCACTACGAGTCATCATGGGGACTAAGCTTGAAAAACCAGAATGGTTCCAGACACGATTTGATCAGCTCAACCTCATTGAAGAAAAATGCTTAACTACTTTGTGCCATAGGCAACTATATCAAAAATGGATAAGGAAAGCCTTTGATAAGAATGTTCGTCCTCGAGTATTCCAAGAAAGGGATCTTGTCCTCAAAAATATTTTGCTACCTCTCTTATATTAGGGAAAATGGACACCTAACTACGAAGATCCATATATGGTAAAAATAGATTTCTCGTGAGGATCTTTTATCCTCACAATGATGAACGGGGAAGAACTACCATATCCTCTAAACTCCGACGCAGTCAAAAAATACTATGTATAAAAGAATGGGCCCGCTAAGTCGAAAATCCAAAAAGGCAACTTAAGTAAAATGGGGCGTCCCGGTGGATTAAAAACCATAAAGGGTAATCCAGTAAAAAATTAGAGGCACACAAAAATCATTAGCCCAGTGGATTGAAAACCCGAAAGGGAGATCCAAGCAAAAGTTAGGGATTATATTCAATAACAAAATAAATAAAAAGACTGCGACTCAAGGATCTATTACATCAACAACTACGAAGGGGAGGAATTAATTCAATCATCTTTATCAGAAGTAAGGCGATTGGAGTTATCAAGAGCTTATGAGAGATACCAGTATTGGAAATCATTTATCATTGTCGTTCCTTTTTTTTAATTACCACTTTTCAGGAATTGCATCTTGTATTCTTGCCTATTCAAAGACACTTGCACTAATAAAAATAATTTCTTTAACATTCAATTATGTTTTTCTTTTCCCGAATTTTTTGTAAAATATGATGATTATTTCTTGAGAACACTATGTTGAAACTACTTTAGGGACATGGGAAAACATAAAGCATTAAAAACACATTAAAAAATCACTTTGGTTTGAAAAACGTCAAAGGAAATCCATGACTATGTCTGAAGCACGATCATCAAAATCATGCAGAAACTGTTCACAATGAACATATCAAAATAAAAAATCGAATTGGGGATCACCACATCAAACGAAGAAGAGCATTGGGAAGTCAGTGGCCCTGGAGACCCAACAATCTGAAGAAGCAAAAACATCGAAATCATTCATAACATTTGATGCATCTACATATAAAAAGCATTATCATTATGCATTGTACATAAACATATCAATCATGAATTACAAATCACTAAGGCTCAGGATTAGTTCAAAAACCACAAGGCATATTATCCAGCTAAGTCACCCGCGCGAATCACAAATTCAAAACTTAACACTATAGCAATTAGAACCCCAGTTAAGAAACGAGCATAACCATTAGAGGTACTACAACTAAAATTGCACTAGGTGGTATATCTACGATTCATATCCATAAGCCTAGTCATTCAAGTTTCACTTATCAAATTCAAATTCCAAATTTCAAACGCGCATTATTTACCCCTTAGGTTGTGGTAAACATGCAAAATCTGTGATACAACTTACTATGTTAGTCCCCGAGCAACAACATGTTGTCTTTACGAACATTTCAACCCTATTGGATTAGTCCCTTAGCAAAGATAGAGTTGATACTCGCGTTATCTACCCCTAGGTTATGGTAGATATGCAAATCGGTAATATAACAAGCAACATTAGTCCCTGAGATATGATGAGTTATTTTTCCAAAATTTTCGATATTGTTGGATTAGTCCCTTGGCAAATATAAGATCGATACCATATTATTCATTGGATCAGTCCCTCGGCAAAGATGAATATGGAAAATTTTCGATACAAATTACTATGTTAGTCCCTGAGTGATACCAAGTTGTTTTTCAAATATTTGTCAACTCTATTGGATTAGTCCCTTGGCAAAGATAAAGTTGATACCCGCATTATTTACCCCCTAGGTTGTGGTAGGAATGCAAAATCTGCGATATAGATATCACCAGCGTCCTTTCTCGAATCTATTGGATTAGTCCTTTGTAAAATATAGATATGTTAACCCACACTCCAAGCATTGATGAGTTATCAATGTCCTCCTCGTCCTCCTTACTTTTATTTAATAATTTATTTTAAAAAGTACATTTCAAAACATTCAAAATCTTTTGGTCAAATCTCGGGGTCTATCGTTATTTAATAACCTTCTGATCTGAATGTGTGAGAACTTCATATTCTCGCACCCTTCAATTAAAAAGTGATTAAATAGGAGCAGTTGCATGCCCCAAATTTGCCCGTCTTGGTGCTAGTGTCAAATATTATTTTACTAGGTTTCTCGTTGGGTTATTTATACTAATTTTGTAGATTATTTCTAATTATTTAACTAAATTTTTATCTTATTCATACTAACATTTAGTTTTATACACATTATAATTTATTTAGACAAAAGAATACATGTTTTATAATTTCAAAATATGTGTTAGAACTCTTTATCTTGTTTACAATTTATTTTAACATTAACATTTTTCTAATTAATAAGGTAATGGGCTCATTATTTAATCTAAATTTCTATAATGAAAATGACCCATTCTGTTTTTGTTGACTAATGGTCCATAATAAAATTGGTGTGTACATATATTCAATTATATTTATTCTGCATAATTATTTATTTGTTTAAAAAGTTATTTATTTGTTTAAAAAAGGGAAAATACACAAGAGTTGATTGGGTCAAATGTCACTCTACATTTATATTTTGTTTGTTATTCTATTTTATTTTTAGTTTGACCCGGAGGTCAATATTTTGGATTACAAAAAATATTTATTTATTTATTATTATTTTAGTTTTTTAATTTGTTTTGGAAAAAAAGGTTACCAGAGTCAACTGAGGGTTGGGAACCCTAAATCAGCAGTCTCTCCCAGTTTCTTTCTCTTCCACCCTAAGTTAAACAAAAAAAAGCCCAAAGGTCTAGATTGTTGCAATTTAAATAAAAAATTGGAGAAGATTCTATTGATTGAATATGAATTCGTATAAGAATTTGGTCCAGATACATTACAAACCCCTAACTTTAATTTACATAATCAATCTAATATCAATCAAATCCTTGATTGATTTGTAACAACAAATCAAATTAAAACTATTTCTAAAATAAATTTAACTCCTATTTCTTTAACAACCTAGGAATAAAACATAGAAAGGGACAAAAAATTTGATAACAGATTGGAGAGGAGAAAGTTAAAGCATAATCCCTTTCCATCAGTCTTCATACATATTCATTGTGCCTGCCAAAATCAGACAAAGAAAGAGGATTAGAGGCAGAATAAGTGGAGAAGAATAAAGGAAATTACATAAATATTCACGGCAGGAGAGGTTTAAATTTAGTAACAAAGGTTAGGGTTCATGGGGGATTAGGGTTTATAAGGGTTTTTGGGTTTAGGATGAGTTATCCGGTTGAAGCTCAACCGAGAACTGGGTTATACAATGGTGCTAGGATTGAACCATCGACGGATGCGATTTTTGGCCAGTGGTGGTGGCTTCGTATGAAGAGATACATCGGGGAATAAAGAGAGGAAAATAACAAGTAGAGAGAGAAAGGAAAGTGAAAAATGGGATTTTGTGAAGAAATTTCGAATATATACTCCCTCTTCCATCCATTCAATGCAAGGCATGTGGCCCTTCACTGGCCACATGATCTGAATACTTTGACTAGATTCTGAGTTTGCAGTTCCACCATACGCCTAGTCAACATTAAAATCATAGCCCTTGATCGTTCAAACTTATGATTAACATCCCAGGATCAACTCTTGTGGCCGTTTTGATAAAAAAACTAGCCCCTGGCCTCCCTAGCACACCATAAGCTCGTAGGATCCCCAACAACTTGTCTAAACGGGCTCAAACTCTTCCTGTGCTCAGCCATGTTATTTATACCCCCAATTTTGATACCTGAACTTAAAATACCCCCATGGTCTTTTAATTTCTATTTTTTATTATTTTATTTTTCAATTTGTTTTGTTTTTATCTATTTTACTTATTATTTACCTATTATTATAATTCATGTTTTTTTTACAAATAAATAAATTATTATTTATATAGATTTTTAGGTTAAGAAAAACATTATTTTAAATAACCCTTTTTTTAATATTAACTTTGTTCAACATTGAATATATAACCCTAATTTTAGGATTTAGTCTTATTGATTAATTTCTTTACTAACTACAAATTATTTTCAAAAACATCTAAAATATTATCAAATCTTTTTTTTTTCAAAATTAAAATCAAATCTAAAATAGCTAACCAATCCAAAAACATTTCTACTAACATAATAAAAACTCAAGATCTTTTTTTTCAAAAAAAGAATCATCTGGTTTCTTTCTACTTGGATAAAAAACTTCAACTACCATCATACAGTTTGAAAACCCAGACAAGTTCAAACACCATTCGAAAGTAACTTAACACGATTATATAAAAAACACTAACCTATCACTTCAAACTATGAAGGACTTTGATTTCTTTCTTAGAAGATACGTAGGCACACGGTTGAAAAACCATGGCGAGTCCACTAACTTTAAAAAAAATATGTTTTTCCCTTGTTTGTTTCTTTTCTTGTATATGATGACTTGATGAATAAATAATGAAATAGTCCCCATATATCCTAGGTCTAAAAAGGATACCCTTGAGTACAAGGGAAGTAAATGGTGCCTAACACATTCCCTTTATCTAATCAATTCGCAAATCCAATAATCTCTAAACAATTAAGGTTTTTCCATTCATTTCCCGTTCTTAGGACAAATAAGTAGTGGTGGCGACTCTCTTGATTTTTTTCAAGTTACGACAATACTCTACAATGCAACTCAGTTGAGGTTTGAATGAGAGGTTTGCCTCTACTTCAACTATATCCGAAAGGATAGGGTGAAGTTGATCAGACCCAAACTTCTAGAGTTGTGATACATGGAATACATTGTGTAGCCTAGATAAAGAAGGCGGTTACGCTGAATGGTATACCACTTCACTTATCTGTCTCACAGTCTGATATGGTCCAACATAAATCAAACTTAACTTACATGTCTTGAAAGTTCCCTTTCGCTTTAACCTTTGGGTGACCTTCAAAAATAATGGTCTTCTCTTTTGAACTCCAATGAACTTCTTCGTCGGTGTGCATAAATCTTTTGGTGATCTTGGGATTTATCCATCTTCTCTTTGATCATCTTGATCTTTTTAGTGGCCTCTTGAATTATTATGGATCCAAGAATTCATTTCTCACCAACTTTAAACCAACAAAGGGTGACAAACATTTCCTCCCATACAAGGCTTCGTATGGGATCATTCCAATAATTACATGGTAACTCTTGTTGTAGGAAAATTCTATTAGGGTAAGTGATTTTCCAACTTTTTCCACTATATAATATACATGCTATCAACATGCCCTCTATATTTTGAATGGTCATCTCTGTTTGACCATCGAATTACGAGTGACTTACGGTACTCAAGTTTAGATTCAAGTATTATGAAAAATACTTATAGTAATGGTTGTGAAAGACCCATAATAATAGTTGAACAACCATGGTTAGGTAGGGTGTGATTGTATGTTGGTTATTTAAAACCACGGTCTAGTGCCCGTGGTAGAAAACTGGAAAACATGCTACCTATAACCATAATTGTTTTAAATAATCATAGTGAAAAGTAACACCATTTTTGTTGTTTAAAAAACCTTTCACTATAGTTTTATCTTTCAACCATGGTGATATCCTTCAACAACAACACATAACTTTTATCAACATACAACATATCTCAACAAAAACTATATCTTCAACAACATCCAACTTTTATCAACAACAACATTCCTTAAAAACATAAAAAACTTTTATCAACAACGACAACATATCAACTCATTAAATGTTTCACAAAATTACCTGTCTCAGAATGGTATCCACAATGAAAGGAGGATGAAGTTGAGGTGAGAGCGGAAAAATTGTATTAAATATGAATGGATGTCTTTCACACAAGTTTGCAGCTTTCACTTTAGCTTCGTCCTCCTTATATTTTTTTCTTCATAGCAACACAAACTATTTGTGAACCACACCCATAGTATTGGCTTTCTTGAGTTAATTTTTTTATTTAACTTCCCTACCTACAAGTTAAAATGTATTGTACATGTCATATTATTGTACAATGAGCATGAAAAAACCTATTGAAACATAAATAACATACTTCACTTTTTAGGTAATACATTCACTCATTAAGTTAACTTCTAAAGTTATTATACACATATTAAGTTTAATTCTTAGTTCATATTATCCTACAAACAACATGAAATAAGCTATATTATACATTTCACTCATTTTAAGTTAAATAGATTTAAAAACATAAACTATTGTGAAGACTAACAAGTAACATAGCAAAATCCTAATATTTGATGGAGTTAAATCATATTTCATAAGATTTGATGCAACAAAGGTATCCCTTCGAAGAAGACAAGTTCTCTCATGAGTTTTGTGTTTCCATTTTGCATGTTTGTGAAGAAAGGTTTTCGAAACGTTAATGGATATTAAGATATATGAGAGAGACATGTGAGACAGATGTTAGGGTTTTGTCTTGAGAGAGATGATTGTTATGTACTGAAGCAATATAAATTTTTTGCTTATATATATATATATATATATATATATATATATATATATATATATATATATATATATATATATATATATATATATATATATATATATATATATATATATATATATATATATATATATATATATATATATATATATAGATATATATATATATATATATATATATATATATATGTGTGTGTGTGTGTGTGTGTGTGTGTGTGTGTGTGTGTGTATAATACCTTTTACCACAGTTGATAATAAGAACCGTGATGATATGTTAGCACCTTAAACCACATTTGATAATATGAATTGTGATGAAATATAAGGAAAAACACTTTTTGTAATGAAAATATAGAAAATTGTTGGTGCTAAAAATTTAACCCTTCGCTCTAGCTACATTTCACCCCAGTTGTTAACATTGATCGTAGTTAAATGTGTTTTAGTAAATAACAAAAAAAGTTCTCAAATGAGTTATTCCTACAGTTAACAGAACGACCGTTGTAATATGGTATTACGAAAGGAATATTTTGTAGTAGTGTTTGTTCCCATTTATTTATGTAAAGCTCTCCTAATATCTTAAAGTGAACTTCAAATATCTCTATGATACTATGTTGGATGGTACACCATGTAGTCTTACAATCTCCATACATATAACCTTGTGAAGTGGATTACTTTGTATATGGTCTTAACAGGCAAGAAATAAGATGATTTGGCTAACTGATCCATAATCACCCATATTGAATTGTGCCTGCCAAGAGTACGAGGCAACCCAATAATACAATCCTTGGGAATTCTATCCCATTTCTACTCAAGTATCTCCAAATTATACAATATGACACCTGGTCTTTGGTACTCAATCTTCACGTGTTGATAAATCATACACCACACCAAATAAACCACAATGTCCCTTTTCATATTGGGCGACCAAAACCTTTTCTTCATGTCTTGATACATCTTTGATGAACCAGGGTGAATTGAAAATTCACTTATACGAGCCTCATCTAGATTTAAGTTCTTTAATTCCATATCATTCAAAATCCACATCCTGAATTGGCCAATCCTTTATCATGTGACCAGGCTCATTGCATTTAAAACAACTCCACTGGCGTGACTTTCATTCTACAAAATGGTATCTCTTACAAATACCACAATGAGGAGGTTGCACTGATATTCCACCTTAAGAATACTTCCCTTTGGATGGAGAGCCTCCAAGATTAAGATAGTTACCTGATATCCCATGCTCATTTTTTCCCTTATTGACTTGCTCTCTTTCTGCTTGAACTCTCTTCAAATTATTATCTGCAACATAACACTGCCTTAACAATTCATCATAGGTCGAGAAATCCATCTAATACACATTGTTCTTGATATCGGATCTCAAATCTTCCATCTTTTATTGAGTGCATACACAGCTCGTCTAGAGCAGTCAGACACGTCTTCAAACTTCTCTACATATTCTGACACTGTCATGTTATGTTTAAGCTGTAGGAATTCAAACTTCTTATGTGCTCTCTAACTATTTGGAAAATAATTATCCAAGAAAGTAGTCTTTAGTCCACCACCTCCCAGTTGGAACCTACATCATATGTGAAACGAAGGTTACTTTGTCTTCTTCACTACAAGGTACTATCTGGAAAAATCTCTCCATTCGCTACAAGGTACTTTCTCTTCTTCACTACAAGGTAATTTGTCTTCTTCACTAATTTATTGTGAAATGATTTTAATATGGCTTTTGATTAGGCGTGGAAAGAACTTGGTATTGATAAAGAATTTTATATGTGTTTGATTGAAAATGATTTGAGTGTGAAATGATTTTGTGAACCACTTGATATTGATCAAACATTGATTGACGTTTGTTGGAAATAATTTTAAATGACGATGAAATGGTTATGGAATCAAATGCGGATTAGTGAAATATTTTGAAAATTGCTTGATGTTGATAAAGCATTTTTTCTTTAAGAAAGGTTGATTTTAACGGTGATCGAATTTATTTTATTTTTGGTTAATCAATCAACTAAGAAAATAATAATAAAATAAAATAACACGAGATAAAGGGGAGGGATACACTATCA